AGATTTATTTATGTATTTATTTAGAAAGAAGTCACTTATATAATTTTACCAGGGCTGGAATCATTTGATAAACAGTACCAAACGGTAATATGGTGACATATTATTACAATTTAAAATAACTTTCTGCTTGAATATTTTGTAAAATGTAATACATTCCTGTGATCAAAGCTGCATTTTCGGCATAATTCATCTTCAGTGTTTAATTTTCCTTTCACATGGTAGTTTGTCCACAAAAATAAGAAACAGCTGTTTTAAACAGCTGATGACAATTGAGACACGTTTCTTGAAAAGCAAATCACCAAATGGCTGCTGAAAATTCAGCTTCGCATCAGAAATAAATCACATTTTATAATATATAAAAATAATGATTGTTGCAAAGCACATTGATAAACAGGTAAATAACGATTCACTGATGCAAATATCAATCCTTCTTCATTTACTCACCCCTATATCATTACAAACCCATCTGGCCCAGTCTTTTCATAAAGAATGTTTACACTCAGTTTCACAATTGAAGCTCCATTCTATAAAATGACAGGCTACAAGACTCCAAACAAAATTCAAATAGCATATATATTTTGTATTGTCTTTTTTATGTTAGTAAGTGATGTTAATGATGAAAAACTAGTTATTATAAAGGGAACGGTCTTTGTGTGCTTTTGTAAATTGGCACCAACATCTGACAGAAAACGTCTTACAGACATCTTGCAGATAATTCATGCTGCAGATGAAAATGCCCTTTTTGTCAAATATTTAAAGCTTTTTAGCCATTCAAACTGGTGAAAACAAGACTCAGAGAAGTATTTCTGATCCTAGTGGACGGCATTGGTCTGTCTTCATCTATCAGTTGAAATGGACGATTAGCTCTCATCAGAAGAAACTTGAAACTTGGTATTTTTCTCTTTTTTTTTTTTTCTTTTTTTTCTTAAGTTTTGTTCACAAGATATAGGGCTGTTAGTCATAATGGGCAACACTCAACACATATATTGAATTGTACTGGAATATTTAATTAATTATAAAATTATAAAATAACATGTGGCCTAATAAAAAAGGAGGCTTTTATAATTATCGGATATTGTGCTGGTGTGTGTAATGGATTATTATTACAGACAAAAACGCAAGCGCACACTGATCTAAATCTGACTTACTGCTGAAATCATACAGAGACACACGACACAGGAATAAATGATCTTACCGATTTATGTGCATTTCTTTTGTAGAACACTGGCTCAGTGTAAGTTATCTCGTCATCACGAGTCTCAACTGTTTCAACAGCAATAATAGATGGATTAAAACAACAAAACGCTCATCTAGATCTGTTTCTTCAAAACATGTTACTCGGGCTGTTAAAACTAAAGTGATCATGCAAACTATTAGTTAAATGTTTAACGCTGCAGTTTTTCAAAATGACATTTATACATTTAATTTGATATTGTAACTTTTTCTCTCTCAAAATCTCTAGCAATGTATGTTTATGATTAAATGTGAAGAGACATTACTTGCAAACAAATTGTAAATCAAACCCAGACGCTTAACACAAGTGAAGTCCTTTGCATTCTTTGTATGATGAAATGTTTTTTTTTTTAGTGGAACATATGCTCATCATTTATAGAGATGAACACCAGTGCATCTTTACACAGGTAAGATTATGTTTGTAAAGTGTGGGGAACATTGTATTATTAAATTAACGCAAATTTGCATTCCTGTGTTTCCAGTGTTTTGATGCAGTTTGCGAAATGCAGAATCTGTGTTTGTGCTAATGAGACGAGTACAGATAGCTGCCCAGTGCCATTATATATATATATGGATATGTATTCTGACATGAGTGTAAATCCACAGGAACCGCCAAACCCAATAACTACATATTATTATTTTTTATAAAAAGGAACTAGACGATGTTAGCTACAGGAATTATGAGAATAATTGTGATTAAATGGTAATCAGGGCTATCAATTAATCAAAATATTTAGATAATTATTTTAAAGTTTTGTTTTGTTTGTAACACTTGCCTTCTTGATCAGTTTTTCTATATTTCTTGTAGATCCAGAAGACCATGACTGTGGCGACAACAAACAGAGATACTGCAGCCGGAATAGAGATCATCACTAAATAAAATAAAGGTAGGCCCTGATCTGTAATGGACAAAATGAGCTGTTAATGTACTGAATCTGTTTGTCTGATCTACAACAATCACTATCAAACACCAGCACTGTATAACTGTGAGATATCAGCTTAGTAAATGAACGTTAATGTCAACACCAACATACCTGCACATGGCTGACAGTGCTGAGTGATGTTGAGATGTGTGGTCTGGTTGCTGATGGGATTGTTGAGCACACAGCTGTAGGTGTTTTTATCCTGATATTCCACCTCCAGAGGTAGAGAGAGACTGATGCTGAGATCAGACACACTGATGCTGGACAATAAACTGTTTCCTTTGTACCAGGAGAGAGTCACATGACCCACATTCACCACTGAACACACCAATGTACAATATGATGATCCTGATGATAAACAATCTCTGGTGATGTTAGGAACAGGCAGACGTGTTGCAAAACATGACAATGTTCCCTTAAATAAATAAATAAGAACTCTGGTTTACACTAAGGTGCTTACAATGGCAGTGAATGAGGCAGATCTGTAAACATAAAATACTCATTGTTTCAATACCAAAGTCACAAGAATTGAACAAGATATGGTAACACGATTTTAGTGTGAAAAATCACTTACTAACCTTTTCTGTGTAAAGTTATATCTCATTTGACAACTTTGTCACTTTGACAAGTTTTAGAACCATAAAACCCTAACTGTAAAAATTATAATTTAGACAGCTTCACAGTTCAAAAAATGCACGTTTTAAGAGAACAATTAATGTAAGTGTTTTTATTAAATCATAAGCTTCACATTTTTACTTTTATATGCTCCCAATATTAACACCATTACCTTCCAAGTGTCTCACCGTAACCGTTTATTTATGTATTTATTTTTGGGAGTTTTTTCTTTTTTTTTTGGAGGACGAGGAGGACAATTGTGTAAAATTCATTCTTGTATTATTAACGTTATTCCAAAAATGCTGTGAACTGAGCTTAACTAGTATTGAAACTAAAATATTCTTTTAATAAAATGTGAATGTTTGGAACATGATCTGTACTCACCATAGACGGAAACACTGAATGCTTTTGATGTCAGTTTCGCTCCATGTATCTCTAGTTTATAGAGTCCAGCGTGTTGAGTTGTGATGTTTATGATGGTCAGAGATCCAGTTTGTTTGTCCAGCTTCAGTCTTTCTTTGAACTTCCCATCAAGAACACGGTCAAATATGGAGAAGATTCCAGCCCCTCTATTTATTTTAGCTACAATAAACCTTTCAGCTCCAAAATTCCACAGTATTTCGTCGTCCTCATATATTTCAGTAAGATCAGAGTATAAAGTGACAGAATCTCCCTCCATCACTGACACTGACTCACCAAACACACCTGAAAACATTAAAAGAGGTTTTGTCAAAGATGAAGTCTCCCGATAATTTACAAAGCCTGAAATCAATTTGTAATGGTTTTAAATGTGAACTGAAGAACAGCAGAAGAGAAATTATTTAAACACAGCAGATGAGAATACTCTAATTTAACAATATACACTCTTAAAAATAAAGGTGCTTGAAAGGTTCTTCACAGCGATGCCATAGAAGAGCCATTTTTGTTTCCACAAACAACCATTCAGTCAAAGTTTCTTTAAAGAACCATCTCTTTCTTACCTTTCTGTAATCTGAAGAACCTTCTTTCGCCACATAGAACCTTTTGTGAAACAGAAAGGTTCTTCAGATGTTAAAGGTTCTTTATGGAACCATTTAGACAAAAAACGTTTCTTCTATGGCATCGTGAAGCACCTTTGTTTTTAAGAGTGTACTAACAGTAGCGGCAGCTTTATTATTGTGTAATGAAAAAAAAAAAAATGAAGCCATAAAAATACATTTATAACTTACCAATCAGGCGCCACCAGCACATACAGAACAAAATAAATATGTGAAACATTTTATTCAACAGTTCAGAGTCTGATCTAATGAGACTGTCTACCGGAAAAAAAAACAGCAGAACGGTGTGTGAATCCTCCCACGACAGTTTGACCCTCCTCGTTCTCACACACACACACACACACACTGAACGCATGTTATATATAGTTACATATAAATGTTCTTAAGACTTTAGATGTTTATTTAGTGAAAAACATAATTTTTTTATGTAAAATTTTATATTTATTTTCATTTTATATTTGTTATCTGACTACGTTAAGTAGCTAAATGTATTAGAGTATTGTTTGTAATGAACTACAGTTCATGGTCAAATAGAGCCTAAATCAAACTCTAATGATTAAAAAAAAAATCTAGTGATTTTGTGTGTGTGTGTGTGTGTGTGTGTGTGTGTGTGTGTGTGTATATAT